AATAACTCTGTGTGTGTGTGTGTGTGTGTGTGTGTGTGTGTGTGTGTGTGTGTGTGTGTGTGTAAGTCAACCTGGGTTTCTCTAGGGCTCATTATCTTTTGCAGTCTGTCCCAAAGGCACCTGGAACTAGGATTCAAAAAGGAAAGTGGGCAGGGTTTTCAAGTCCGTTCAGGATGGGAGTGGGCGGAAGTGGGCCCAGAGGGGTCAGAACAGTGGGAGAATAGGAGACCTGCTAATCCCACACCTTCTGCAGGGCCCAGGGTGAGCCCCGTGGCTGTGCGATCAAAGAAGGAGATGGGCAGGGCCTTGTAGGGTGCTGGGTACCCAGAGCACGGCCTAGATGAGGCAGGGGTAAGGTCCACAGACTTTAGAAGACCATATTCTCTTGGTCCCACAGATTTTAGAGAGGGGCAGAGCGGGGTCCTCTAAAGCGCAGGGGCCCAATTTCCCTATTGAAGATCAGTGCTAGGTGCGATGGGATCACCCTACATGGGTACAGAGCAGGGAAGGGCAGAGAGTGGATCTGGGAGGCAAACAGAAAAACAGAGACCAAAGGTTTTGCGGTGGAGAGCATTTATGACTCTTCCATAGTGTGGTGTTGGCCCCTTCAACTATGGGACCAAAGGTGAGGGTTTACGTGATGTCATGTTATTGAGGTGTCTTCCTGGACCACTTTCTCTGGAATGCAGAGAATGCAGCCAGTTCCCCATCCACCTTATTATTCTAGTTTGATGGCAGTGGTTGAAGAATGCCAAAAAGGAGGTCTAAGAAGAGTGAGAATGGAGACTGTTGCTCTCAGCTTCTCATGGACCATCACTGTTTTCTGATCCTCATTGCAGGAAACGGCTCACGATCCAAGAGGCTCTCAGACACCCCTGGATCACGGTAAGGGCACAGTGATGAGTTCCAGTGAGCAGTTCCCTGCTCTGTCGCCAGGGCTGCCTGGGGCGGCCGGATGCAGGGGACCTATGGAAAGGCCTTTGCTTGAAACACTGACCCTCAAGCACAGACGAAAGCTAGCTGGGGGCTTCCAAGGGTCTGGGCTTGTTCAAATAGGTCTACAAGTTTAAGCTTCTATTTCACGTGTTCAGGTGACTCATGAAATGAAAGCTTCACAAATGTCAGTTGAACTCCTTGTTCTTTGGGCCCATCTTACAAAGGGTTCTTTGTCAGAGGACATGTCACTCTCATTCTCAAAGCAGAAATCAGGGCTCCTCAGTTGTAGAGAGAGATCAGTGACAGTTAAAAAACCTCAACTTTGTAACCGGGGCTCCTTGTTTCTGACTTTCGAAGTTCTGAGTAAAGGATGACACTCAAACCGGTCACTGGCTTCCTCAGGCCCCTGGAGACTTCAGAGAATGGGGCTCTGAGGTGGAGGCCTGCTGGGAGAGAGAGGCAGCCACTCCTTAGGGCAGTTCCATTCTCTCTGGGGAGGGTGGGGACACAAAGGTGACGCCCTGCCTAACCCGCCTTGTAACTGGGCTTCCAGCTGCTGGGTTTTCAGAGGGCCTTGCCGTCTAGGCACAGTAAAGTGCCAGTGAAAAGCACTATGGCAGGATAGGAATCAGGAGAGTGGGATTCTGGCCCTAGTTCTTCTGACTGATGAGATGTGTGCTCCCAGGGATGTCACCAGACTTCCCATTCACTGAAATTGTTAAATGGGAGAGCTGGCGAGGATGATCTGAGGGTGCAGATGAGAAGGGGCAGAGGCCCACGGGAGATGGAGAGCAGGGAGGGCTGGAGTGCTCTGGAGAAGGCCAGGTTCATCTGCTTGTTCAAGGATGGGGAAGGCCAGGGGCCCTCCAGGTTTGGGCCCAGACCACAGAGCTAGGGAGTCTGGTGGGCCGCCTCCTAGCTCAGCTTGCCAAGTGTTGCCAAGGCCCAGGGAGCCCTCCAGCCATGAGGGAGAAGAGCCCCCAGCTTCCCCCCATCAGCCATGGCCTTGTATGCTTCCGCCCTTGAGTGGATGCCTGCAGAATCCTGGCTGTAGCCTGCTTGTCTGTGCGAGCACCCTTAAATGCTATGCGTGTGGAGACCCTCTCTAATGGCCGTGGACCACCCTGCCCTGAAATGAGTGTGCAGGCAGCACCCGTCCTCCTCGACCTGACCTTTCTTACGGTCTGTGTGGGTGATCATTCCGCCCTGGTCCTCCCGTGGCCTGGCGCATGCAGTGAATGCAAAGAGGCTGCTCGTGTGCCGTCTGCCTGCACCTTGGACTGCCCTTGGAGCAGACGTCAAAGTAACTCTGGCCCTTCTGTCTAAACACCCCCTAGTCCAAAGGAGAGATCAGAACCCCTGAAGAGCGCAAGGCAGAGCCCGCCCAGCTGAAGACCGAGCGCCTGAGAGAGTACACCCTCAAATGCCACTCAAGCATGCCCCCCGACAACACCTATGTCAACTTCGAGCGTTTTGCCTGTGTGGTTGAGGATGTGGCTCGGGTGGACCAGGGATGCCGGGCCCTGGCGGGGGCCCGTGACACCATCCAGGACGATGTGGAGGCCTCGGTCTCCATCTACAATGAGGAGGCGGCTCGGTACCTGGAAGAGAGTGAGAGAGCCCGGCGCGACCTGTCGCAGCCCAGGTACGAGTTCCGCAGAGCAGAGTCCTCAAAGAAGCTCCTGCGAGAGGACATCCGGGCCACGGGGGCCGCCTCGGGAGCACAGCCAGGAAACTGGACCATCTGCAGGCGCAGTTTGAAGCCCTGGGGCAGGAGCTCTTGGCAGACTTACAGTGGCTCCAGGAACTGGTGGGCGGCTTCCAGCTGGAGAGTGGGAGCGTGGACAGCCCCAGCTCCGTGTGTTGCCAGGACTCTAGTGAGTGCCTAGGGGAGCTGCTCAACAGATCATGCAGTGAGGAAGTCTAGGCCAGCTTGAAGCTCTGAGCACCAGAATCGAGTCAGGAATGCATCCTGGATGGTTTGCTGAAGCCTGTTCCCAACTGCCCTGCCAGGGCATCGACTAGAATTCTCCTGCAGGGGTGTGTGTCTGTAGCATAGCCTTCCACCCTCTTCCCAGAATCCAGAATCACGGAGGGGCTAGCTAGTTATCCATTCTGTACCTCCTCTCACCAGCCTGGTTTTCTGGGAGGGTGGCTGGCAGGGCAGCTAAGCTGTTAAAACGATTGAGGATGAACACCCGTCAGTGTACCCTCCTACAGAGGGAGGACGGCTGGCCCTGGAGAGATACTTGATAACTGATTTGTGATAATGGATTTGTTCACATCTCGCTTCCCGCCTTGTAGATTGCAGGTCTTGGGTATCCTAGTTAATAACTAGCGATAACAGTCAGTTGGCTTGGTGCTTTCCTCCTGCTGA